ACTGCAAAGCAAAATAATAAAGTGAAAAATGGACTAATTTACCCCTGTGTGGCTGCTGCCATCACAGTTACATAGAGGCATACTGAGAAGCTTTGATTTTGACCGATTTCTTCAAATGCTGTTCTGTGTGGCAGCTCTTTGAGTGCCAACCTGCTTCCTAACAATGACTAGATTAACATGTAATGTTTAACTTATTCCCTGACATTAACTAATAACATTGACAATTCTAATAAAAATATCTTAGCATGTTTTCAAAATGCTAAATTATGCAAACCAAACATGATAAATCCAGAAACGTGATCAAGAGCTGCTATTCTCTACAGTTCTACAGTTTGCTGTTACTTGTAGGATGAACCTAACATCTAAAGGTAGCAGTCAAGAAGTTTGTTCAGACGACAGCTTTAAGCCACGTCAAAATATCAGACTCTCACTGTAAGCTTATCATTGACTTCATGCTGTGGACAGAAGTCTAACAGATAAGACAGAGGCCGACCTCAAGTCCATGTAGACATTCTAAGAAGGCCACTTCAGTGCAGATAAGGTGAGGCCTTGTTGCAAGGACTGTGATTCATGCAGACACCAAGGCCTGGTGTTAACAATGATGAGGAACCTAATTCGATAAGCGCCAAGTGCTTGGTATTTATCTGGCAATATACAAAATGAAAATCCAAAACATTTCTTTATTGGTTTCGATAAACTTGAAAGTGACATAATGCATAGAAGCAGAAAAAAAGATTTATCCCTGCTCTGAAGGACACAGTAACGTCATTCTGTATCACTTCTGATTTCTAAACAGTCTGACTTTCAACAAAAGAGCCACTCATAAGGTCGAATCTACATGAGAAATTCACCCGCTTTGTCATTACTCAAAACAATTACACTCTGGCCCGTAAGCGTTTCTGTTCTCTAGCCATGCTGTAAACTAGCCAGTCATCTTCATAATCTAACATCAACAGAGAAAACACCTTCAAAGGACCACATCAAACATACACTAAGTTTGTTACGTTTATTGCATTCTGGGGAATAAACTGTTCAATTAAATGTGCTGCGAAATGTTTGATGGTCCTTCACAATGAAAGCAATGTTTGATCTGTATCATAACAATGTGTGTACAGTATATGCAATGACATTATATACCTGGCCTCAGGAAACAATTAAGGGGTTATTTATACAGCACCTTTCAAAGCCAACATTACAAAGTGCTTCACAAAAACAAAGACTGAAATTACTCTAAGATGAAGGCAGCTCCAACGTTCAGAAGTTTGTAATTAGTCGAAGATCTAAGTCATAGGCTTAAAAACCGAAGCCATTTTTAAGGGGGGTGGGAAGGAAGGGCTGTGTGACGTGAAATATTAGGTTTGTGTGTTGTTTGTTATTTTGTGGTATAATTAATTTAGCAAAATGTGTGAAAAAACAAAAATAAAACAAAAACCAATAAACCGTCCCTTTTCAGGGGATTTTTGTTTTGTTTTGTTTTCCATTTTTGCTTGGAAGAAAAGAGACTCAAATGATTATTCATATTAACTATTTGTATACTTATCTATCTACTGCTGAGTTGTTCTGAATTTTGTGAACACTGGTGTCATGTTTTAAAATGCCAAATCAAACACTATATACAGAACCACTGCATATTGACTGTCAACTGGAGAGTATAACATCACATTTTGGGGTGGCTGTAGCTCAGGAGGTGGAGCAGGTCATCTACTGATTGGAAGGTTGGTGGTTTGATCCCTGTCTCCCATTTGTCTGCATGCCAAATATCCTTGGGTAGTTAGTAAGCACTTAAAAGCATAGGTGGGTGAATGTGATATGTTGTGTAGAGCACTTTGAGTACTCCGGGAGAGTAGAAAAATGCTATATAAGAATCACTCAATGTACATTTTCATGAAAATCAAAAGAGATTGGATTTTTAAAAGCACATAAAAAATAATAGTCACTTTGTGTGTGACGATGTTTGTGCAAAGTGTTGTTCAGATTGGCTCGCCCATTAAGGAGGAGATAGGGTACATATACTACATGTACATATACAATTATAATAAGTACTCTGTAGTTTTTTGTTTGTTTGTTTTCCAGAGTTACAGATATCCTTGAAAGCTCACTTAAAACATAACCAGCAATTCAGTACAGCAAAGTAGCTTATTTGTCCATTGTGATCATAGATACTAGCATACACTATATGGGCCACACGTCTTAATCTTTGAATTCATGTGTTTTTAGTCCCATTGCTACAGTTAGTCAAAGACCTGTCCGTGCAGTCTGCCTTTCAAAACATTTTGAAAGAATGGTTTGTTCTAAAGAGCTCGCTGAATTTGAGTGTGGTGCTATAATAGGATTCCACCATTGCAACAAATCAGTTTCTTCAAGTTCTTCAAGAAATCAAGTTTCTTCACTCCTAGATATCCTGCAATTAAGTGTAAATGGTATTTTTAGTTTGGGAACCACAGCAACTGCCAAGTGTCAGAACACAGAAAGTTACAGAGCGAGGTCATTGAGTGACTGTTTAATATTGCTAACTTTTGCTATTACACTCTTATTGTTTCCACTGTAATCGCCATAACAAGATGTTATGAAAATGTGATATGTGTTTAAATACTGTAGATCAATAAATCTTTAAACCTCTATTATTCATTTGTGTAATCAACAAACATTGTTTCTTAATTTCTTTACATCGCATGAGGTAGTGGGACATGCAGCATAATTTGGCAATTAATTGTGGCCTGAATCAATAAACAGAAATGACTTGATTATTTTTTTTGTTAATTTGTGTTGTACTGTACGTTGTATAGCAGCAGCATCCTTTTACAGTGTTTAGCTCTGTTTACAAAGAACATATTACTGTAATTTAGCGTATTTTTGTGCCATTTTGTTAAAGTGTATCTTTGCAGTATATTTTGCGACTTGTTGCTGTAATAGTGTAGTGTGTAAAAGTAGATTATGATTTTTTTTAAAGATTTTAACAGAGCAAAAGTTCTGTACAGGAGCTATACAAGAAGATTGTCCTAAAACGACCTGCCTGATTTCTGACAGCTGCTGGTAGTATGGGACATTTAATTAAAACCAGTAATTTCTTTTATCTTGTTCTTGGGAAAAGGCTTATATGACTTGTTTCACAAACCTGGACATGACAACTGAATACTTTATAAAGAAGAGTGAAAAAACTTTTACCTTACCTTTCTGCCAGGACACTGGCTGCACGATATAATTCAACTTGTATTACAGCTCCATTACATTGAGACTGAGCTTAAATAAACATATTATGCTGTAGTTGCCTGGCTCTTTTCAGTTCAGTGACTTTGAGAATCCTCTGTTCCCTCTCTGTCATTCTACATATCTGCTGGTGTTGGATTCAAACAAAAAACAGATGATACAAATTATGTTCTTTGAAAACAAATTTTGTCTCATGTCATGGTTAATGGGCCTCTTTTAATACTCCATAAAGCATTAGGTCAGTCAGTCTTTCAACCAAGTTTAATTTATAAGCCATCGGCATCAACTTTATTTATTTTTTTCATTTTGTGTTAGCTAGGTTGTTGGTTTTCAGCTGCTGTGGATATACAAGAAAGCTTTCATAGTCTCATTTATACCTGTTATTTTAACACAAAGAAGCATCTGTCTCTGCACTCGATCCAAAGTCTTCTTTCACTTACTTCCTCTTAATGTCTATTCGTGAGGACTCTGTCAGCTATTCTAAGAAGAGATGGTCCCCAATGATGGCTTTCCTTAACACTTCTTCCATCATCTTCTAACTAACTTAGCTGACTGATCCTTCTCCAAATTGATCTCTCAGCACTGGTTAACAGTCCCATTTCTACTGCCTTCCTTCCTGTTCTGTTTCACATCTGGCTGTATCGTCCTCAAGTAAAACAAAGCTGCTCGTATACTCAAGAAACCAACACTCAAACCCAATTATATATTTTGAAACTGGGCTTCTTGTTGTCACTGAAGCACTAAACAATGACTCATTCCCCTCAGTCTTCTTATAACTACGTTTATGCTTTTAACACCGAGCCACCAGATGCTCTGAGTCTTTCCTACCAACTCTGTTGGGTCATTTCTTACTTGGTTGACCTTGTTTCTTTGTCCTGTTAGACCACACTATGTAGATAGTGATCCCTGCTCAGCTTTCCAGGAATGTCTTTGTGCTTAGACACAAACATCTCTGATGTAAGGACCACAAGTGTGAGACAACACAGTCCTGCATGTCTGCAATGTTAAGTTTAATCCACGTATTATTTTTTACAGGTGCTTTACAGTAACAGCGACTAGTTCTCTTCTTACTGTGAAGCAGAAAAATCACAAAGCACTTTGCACACCTGCTTTGCATTTGCTGGAAAATGACAGAACTTCACCAAGTTATTACTGAGAAAAAATTAAACATATTGTCTCCACTATATTACAATCAGGCATTCCATATATAACTCTGTCTCCCTCTCTCTCTGTCTGTGCACATGCTTTATTATTTTTTCAAGTTAGTAGTTTTGCTTTAGTTGAAAATGCACATGCTCTTGTGCATGAGTAAACTGTGGTACAAAGCTCACTTTATATCTGTGTGTCATTTGCAAGACAACATGGGACAATGGGTGTTTTTCTGTGTGTGCTTTTATGTTGTTGTTTTTTTCAGCCTACGTGGCTCAGAGGTGAAACAGTGCTGGACTTTATACATATGAGGCTGAAAAGGTTCAGGAGCACTAAATGGAAATATGCAAAGATGGGTTAATGTGTGCCCAATAGACTGCATTTAAAAGAAAAGAGATAGAAGAATATGCAATGGATGTAGCATCCAGCCAGTGTGGAAGTGACCAACTCAGATGTAATGTAAAGACACAGTTATCTGTTGGTTGGTGCTGAGCAGCAGACTAGAAAAACTAGAGTGTAAACTTCACACAGCAGCCTATGATATTAGTCAGAGATGCTAATTTTGCTGCATTTTAACATAGATGTTAAAACCTCAAGTGGCTATTTGACAAATTGTCATTTTTGCCACTTCCCCATTAGTTTCAGTTTTCAGTCCTGGAAGTCGCTGTTTGCTTTAATAAAATTAAGCTTCTTATATTTCAAGTGCTGTACCAGAAGTCTTGATGTTTGTGATAGTGGCTTCTTGAAATGTGGGCAGAAATATGTTCAGCTTCAAGCCTAAGCACCACTGACAAATAATGCTGTAATGATGGGTGGTTAAGTCATCGACTGCTGCCCGCCTCACTGCTTTAGTCATACAATTTGTATGACTGCGAGTAGAGTTTGTGTATAGCATGCGTTATTATGGCACTGGTGCTTCTTGTGGAATTAACAGACATCCTCCTCCCACTCTTTCTCCATCTCTCTCTCTGTTTACGTGTAGAAAGAGTACAAGCTTCTCTCCATGGGGAGGGGAATTTTAATACTGAGTGTTTAAAAGTCTGTGTTTATGAACACTTTAGCAGCAAAAGGCATTCAATAACAAGTTCCATTTTTAATGAGAAAAAAGCCACTAATACAAAGAAATAAATAAATAACTGGGTATTGCACACATGTTGGCCACTATGATACAGTATGATATGGTGCACTGCTGACTCAATGTGTATTTTGAAGTGTGGTGTAAGCATGTGTGTGCATGCATATGCTCAAGAGATGCACATGTAGCTGAGTTGCTTATTCACATCAGAGTGACGCATGTGCTTAAGGAGCCTGCTGAAGCTGTCCAGACAAGCTGCAAAAACACACGCACACACATATAGAGCGCAGAATGTGATGCTCCTGCAGTGGGATTATCAGGTAAACCTGTGAGTTCAATCTGCGGCTGGTGGTTAATACCTTCTAAAGAAGTTTGTAGCGGGCGGCTCCATTCTGGATTGGTGTTGTGGCATGAAAATATGCGTGTCTGCAGCATAGAAGAGTCATCACAAAATCTGTAGTTAAGGCTCCAGACATACAGATATTTGTTGTAGATTTAAAAGGCTATTTGTTATCCTGTTTGACTTCACGCATCTGGCTTGTAAGAGGAAGTACTTGGCTTGTTGCACTGGGGACTGAACGTGGGTGGTAAGGAAGACGATTAAAGTTTGTGAAGTGCAGCGGGGGCAGACAGGTTGTGGAAGCAAAAGCAATATGCTAATATGCTGCTGGACATTAATGGTAAAATGGTAAGAAATATTCACAGCTTTTTGCTCTGTCTGTATTTTTTTTTAAGTGAGTGATTTATCCATTCTCAGTGCTGTCATGTTTCTTCAACAGGTTTCAGCTACAGAAGAATGTGTAGGACCCATGAGATTGTCTCAAGAGCCAATTCAGGTAAGAGTAAGACAGCCCATTGGGTCATGTTCATATCTAATGTTTAAGAACAACTGATGAGTGCAGTTTATGGCACCAAATTTCCACCCCCCTAAGTGTAATTTAGTCTCCTAGATAAACAAAACGGATTCAAAATGTACTATGAATTCCCTGTTTGTGTCCAGTTGGAATTTCTATGCAACTTCATTTAAAACAGGGAAAAACAAATACACTGCCTATGCTACTTATACCATTTATACTGCTTATAGTTTATATCACATTAGGACTTCTTCTTTTATCCCAGAAAAAAATCATTCCATCTCTACTAAAGGACAAGAATACTTTTGCAGATTGATTTTTATTCGTAAAGTGACTTTATCCAGAGTGTGGTTAACAGTATTTGCTGTGATAATGATTTACCTGACTAAAGTTGTTGAAGATAAATTTACTTTTTTGATTTAAAGTAAAATATGATCTTAGCCACATAAACCCTGTTTGCCTTTGTAGTCCAAAATGTTCTTTTGTATGTCCCCGAAATAATATCTTCTATCCCTTGCGTTGCATTCATTCTTGAATCAGTGCTCTAAGACATATTTGCTGTGATGTTTTCTGGATATAGTTTGCCATTTTAGATTAATTTTATGCATCTTAAATACCTGTAGACACCATGTCTGTCCTCTGTCATTTCGGTCTAGCTAAGATTTCATCTTGCCTATCAAGAACACGAGTAATATTGTGGGGTTAGGCAGGGTTGAGTCAGGGACTGTCTGTACTCATCTTCTGGTTAGGGATTAGGACATGTGCTAACAAGATTTATCCTTATGTAACACAGAAAGTAAGAGCTCTCGGATGTGACTAGCTGGTTAGATTACAAAGCATTCCTTATTCCAGCAGTTCTGCTACTTTATTAGCTGCTCGTTTATTGCTTTTATTTGATTTGCTTTGGTTTGAGCTGTGCTGCTTTGACCCATCTCCGGGGGTTTTTGAGTTCAGTTCATCTCCCACTCCAGTGTGGTGATGTGAGAGGCCTGGCATGCCACTCGTGTTCATGCTGAGCTAAAGAATCCCACTCTATCCCTTCACCCTCCTCCTTATTTACCAAACCCAAAAGCACTATAGCTGAAATCTCTGGCAGCATGCAAGCAGGTGGTGGGACCGAGGGCTTTATTAAAAAGCCTTTTTTGACTTCATCTCATGGCCCATAAAACCCTAAAACTGCTCTTTTAGTTTTACGTCCAACCTTCTGCTGGATCCATGACCTGAGTCGCTCCTCCTCTACTTCACTCCTTCCACAGGAACAGAGAGATGAAAAGAGAGATAAAATGTTCTGCAGGAGAGAGTTATATATTGTGGGTTTTCCTTGACATTTACTATTACTGCCTGGTGGCCCTGGAGAGTTTCAGATTTGCTACATACCTCCCCCATCAGCTTATCTAATGCTTCATGTGGTTTCACTTGTTACACACATAATTAATAATCTAAAGTGCATTGTAATTATATCGCAGATCCATGTAAAGAAAGGTAATTCTGTTGTTGAAAACTTTTGTCATTTTGTATCTTTAAACTTTTAATGCCTTTTTGTGTGTAAGCTCAACTATATAAACAACTGCAATTGCAGTTGAAGCTGTTGCTCAAATAATTCATGTGTTCATCAGCAGAATCCTTAATGGAAGGAAGTTTTATCATTGGTTTACTAAAAATAAGAGCTTGTTAAATGTAAAAGCAATGTTTCTGTGTCTAATTAATCCTTGACAATTTTATATGTAAGTTAAAGGCATCACACCTTTGATTTGCATCTAGTTTATCGTGATATAATATGTTGAAAAACAACTTACTCATACAGACTTTGTGTCCTCTAACTTTGACATAGATTTACTTGGTTATTTATTTATCTGAAATAAGTCCTCAGACATTTATTTATTTATTGCAATTCTTTTCTTTTTAAAAGATTTTCCATGTGGATATTCAGAAAATGATAAAATCCAGTTAAAATTGATGGCCATTAACCAAATCCTACCACAACTAGTTAGGTAAGCGGTGTTAGGATTTTGTGCTTCTTATTTTTTGTTTTCTTTAATTTATTGATAAATTTTTAAAACATGCTTATTGGAGCACATAAAATTGTACAATGCAAAATGTAATGAGTTTGTTTTAAACTGTTTAAACTGCAGTAGTGCAATTATCATCATTAAGTCATCTTAAAATGGGACTTTAGAGTAATTTGTAATATCTCAACATAAGTAGCAGAGCTAAAATATGCCAAAGTAAAAGAAAAAAGAAAAAAGTTTAGACTGGAATGCTGACTGAAAGGTAATTTTTAATGAATTCATTACTTTATAATTATATTTAAAAGCATGAAATCAGTGTTTCATTAACAGCCTGACCTAAACACTGTCTACAATTTTCAAACTAATTCTGGGCTGTGTGTGTAATGTGTACGTAGAATATGCTAAGCTGGGAGGTACTCCAAAATATACACGATAAACTACGCAGGTTATAGTTTTGACATCATTCATATGAAGGAAAAAACTTTTTTAACTAACTTTCCCAACTCCCCAGATATAGTGAGGAAAGTTGCTTTTATTATACTCTTACATGAGAGTCATCTTACACTCTTGTACTCTCTTTTTATCCCAGTAATATCTAGCTCAGTCAAAACTGTTGTTAACCGCTATTTGAGCTGCTGTTCTGTCTTGTAATTACCTTGGATCTCAATAGGCGTGCACATGTGGAGTTTCTTTTGAGCCACACCTGGCAATTCTAATTTTTATCCCACATTTAAATACTGTATCACTGCACACTACAGTTTCCCTGTTCTGCAGTTTTTTATCACTTCATTTTCTAATCTTTGGGGCAGTTTCCATCATATTCATCCAAATTCTACAGAGCTTATGACCTTGTAGTGTCTTGCAACTTCCCCCATTGAGCAAAGCATTGCCAGCAAAGACTTAACCTGCTTGAGAACATGATAAAAACCTCCCCTACTTTCTCCATATCCATTGGCTAAAATCCAGAAAAACGCACATCCTGCAGTGCGTGCTTTTGCATACAAGAGTCGGGACAGGGGAACAAGGGATGATAATGCTGTGCAATCCCAAAAAAGTTGATTGTTAAAATAAAATGCTGGAAAGCTGAAAGAAAAGATTTCATTGGCCAGCCTTTGACCAGTTAAATGGCTCAAAGGTAGTTATCCCAGTGACACATCTGTTTGGAAGTCTCCCAGTGTTAAATGGCATCTGACTTGGGTGTGCAAACATGGCAGATTAACCTCTGAACTCTGAAAACAGCAGCAGCCCAGGAGGATAAGCCTCTGTGCTAGCTGAACAGTGTTTTCATGTAAACTATGAAGGCTGTGACTTAACTGTGTCATTTGGGTGGCTTGATAGGTTTAAAAACTTAAATTGTATTTTAAGGGTATTGTAACCAATTAATTGCATAAACACACATCCATTTGCCTACCATTAACAGTGAGTTGCATTTAGAGAGGCGTCTAGCTCTGACAGATACGATGTTGATGTGATGGAGTGCAACCATGTGTTTAAATATGTTTGACTGTGTGTATATTAGATGGTGGTATTAAGACCAACGGCGCCTCCTATCAGGCTTGTCATTGGTGACATATTTGGGTGGCAGGTCAGAGATGTGTGTGGTCTGTGTTGTCCCAGGGTACGCTAGGTACTGTGTGTGTGGAATTTCACATGTTAGCACCATGGTTACACAAGCCAGCACAGGATCAAAGACTGTAGATCTTTCACAGGCACTCGAAAATGGGAGCCCATTTTCTCCTCCTGTCCTCTCCTTCTGACATCGTCTTTTGGCAGTCTCACCTCTTCTTTTTCATTTTCTATTGTTTCTGTCGCCGCCTGTGAAGGACAACATATGAACACTCTGAAATGCTCTCTGCCTGATCTTACTGTGGAGAATCATGACTTGGACTCCCTTCTGCTTATTTCACCCACTCACTCATTAGCTTTCCCCTCTCTCTGCTGTGCTTCCATGCACTCTATCTGTCACTCTATCCTTTGTTGTCCTTAGAGGGAGTCAGGAGGTGATGCTGCTGCGAGGCAGAGCTGAGTACTGTTGATTCTGGCTGCAGTCCAGCTGCCTGCGTGTATATGTTGTGTTTCCTCACCACTGTACCAAAGGTGGTTGGTGTGTTCATGGTCAAAACACAGTGTGGGATCTAAAACATGTCCTCACTCTGCAGGTTTCATGTTTGTCATGATTCTGCGCTGCTCAGTTTCAGTCAAAGCAGTAATTCACCTCTTGGAGAAGGCATTACCATGACGTTTACATGATGGCGGTTATTCAGCTATTCATTTCATCCATTTTAAATTTCCCCAGTCAGAATCGGGGGGACAGGCAGGTGGAGACTCTCCTAGCATGCTTTTAACAAAAGATAGAGAGGCACCATGCACAGTTTGCCAGCTTATCTAAGGAAAGTCAAGCACACGGATGAGCACACACAATTTCCAATATTTCTCCCAAGCTGCATGCGTGTCTTGGGACTCTGGGAGGAAATCCACAAATCGCCAGAGAGAAAATTAAAACTCAACCCAGAAAAAGCAACAGAGCTGAGAATGAAAATCAAGACTGATGATGACACAGTTGACCATTTTCCCACTGTTTATTTTTCTCAGTTTTTGATTTTACTCACATCGCTATACTAACAAAACAAATAAAGGTGGTAATACTATGTTTTACTTTACCCAGTTATGCAAGCTTTACAAATGAAGTAGGGTTTTTTAGCTTTTCGTTACATCCAGATAAACTTCCTGTTTTGTCAAGCCTACACGAACACTAAGGGAACATTATGTGCTCATTTCAAAATGAAAACCATCACTAGAGACAAATGACCGATACATTCTTATATATTACTTTCTCAGAAATGTTAAAATTCGATTTCTGTGCATCTATGAATATACTCCTTAGGGCTCATTATTAGACCTCAAGGGAACAACCATTTCAGGGGCCAAACAGATCGATGTTCCCAAGCAAAGTCTCTCTAGGATCTTTGTTCTTCCCGTGCCGAGAGGCTGTTTTTCTGATTTCCTGTTACGGTCCAAAAACATGCATGTTAGGGTAATTGGTGGTTCTAAAATTAGATGTAGGTGTGGATGTGAAAAGGCAGCCTCCATGTGTTCGTCCTATGATGAACTGCCGACCTCTGTGGACTGTACCGTACATTTTGTTGCATGTCGCCTGTAAAAGGCTCCTGAGATAGACCCCAAGATTAAGATACAAAATTGACACCAGAGGTCCAAGACCAGCCCCTGCAGTGTGCAAACCACCAGATTATAAATACCCTGAAAGAGGGTACAGTGGTAAGACTTAAGAGGTTACTGCCCCCATGACATGCCATCACTAAGTCTATCCCTAAAGGTACAATAACACATTTATTTTATGAGTAATGCATGTTAAAGGTAATAAATTGTTTCTGTGTTTTTAGCCGTTTCTCTATGTACTGTCATGTTTCGTAGCCTTATAAAATAATGATAATAATATATAGATTGTTCTTAGCAAAAGACAAGAAACAACCAGGCTGGATTTCATCAAATTTGTTGACATTTTAAGCACAGGCAAAGGAAGGAGCTGTTTTTGGTTCCAAAGAATAACATTAGGCAGCGATCCTGATGCGAGCAGTATTTCGTGCTTTTTGGTTTCTTCATTAGGGTGGGGCCTCTCTGTTTGCCATTTACATGTTCTACATGTTTCTTCCCACAGTCCAACATAAGGCTGTTTAATTTTTCTTTCATGCAGCCAGTTACTTACTTACTCCATAAACAGTGCATTATGTTAATCTACAAAAAGGGAGGAGTGGATATAATTTAAGCCAGAATTTGTACTTGTTGCTATTCACTGATACATGTCAGTAGCCTCATTTGTCCTGTAACCTTGTGAAAAATGTAACCGGCACATAAAATGTTCTTGGTCTGCTGTTCTGAATAGTGTCCTGTCTGAGTAGTAGACAAAGTGAAATATCTATTTTATAATTATCCCAGCAATAGAAGTACTCTCTTACCCCCATGCCCATTTCCTTGTCTCTCTCCAGGTCTTGCTCGTGTTTGCAAAGGAGGACAGCCAAAGTGATGCCTTCTGGTGGGCCTGTGACCGCGCTGGTTTCAGGTGCAACATTGCACGGACGCCTGAGTCTGCTGTTGAATGTTTCCTAGACAAGCACCATGAGATAATAATCATTGATGGACGTCACTCACGCTATTTTGAGCCTGAAGCTGTTTGCCGGTGAGTGAAGTCTTTCTGACCAGAGTCACTGGTTCTATATTTTCTGTAATTTCTCTATTTTCACTTCAGTGAATGTTTTGAGAGTGTTTCCTCCCAGCAGCTGGGAGAAGACATTTTAGGAAGTAATTTGGTGTTGTATTACATATTTAAGAGTATATTGATACTTCTTTAATGTTTGGAAACCATCTCCTTAAACTGAAAAAGAAAAAAATACTAGCAAAGAAATGATTTAACCAAATCCACATCTTTTTGCACGTAATCATGTGCAATATATAGATCAAACTACATCAGTCAAAAGTTATAGCAAGGAGCAGTGAGTACTGAAGCTCCTATAGCTTTGGGACTCTGTTGTGAAGAACTGGTTGGTGCCATCTGGTGTTCACTGAAAGCAACACAGAAGTCTACAACTTGAAACCTGATGCTCCAAGTTATATTTACAGATTTCTTTATTCAGTTTTTCTCCAAAAGGAAGTACAAGATATTTGACTTCCCAAGTTATAGGAAGCCATAGTTGAGCAGGCACTAAAGTGAGTCTGCACTTTGCTGACATGAAATCAGCCAAAAGCCTGAAAAAGCTTTTTTTTGCCCATTTGTCTAAAGTGGCCGTGGCTGTGCTGGCAGCTTTTCAAAAGTATATGCGCCTGCGAAATGATCCCGTTCACTCCCAGTCCTGTGCCAGATGTTAAATCCTTACTGCTCATAGAGTTGTGTGCATTTGTTTATTCATTTACTTATTTATTTACTGAGAACGACCTGTAGTCCTGTATTCTGGATACATAAATAACATGACTTTCAGGTTTTCAAGTCAGCTTATTCTTTGTTTTAATAAATAAATCGAAGCTGGATGTTCCTTCGATTTTTTGGCATCTATTTAAAGAAAAACTTTATTCCATATTATTTTTAGCCAAGACAAGTGACTACTACTTATGTGTTTGATTTAGTTTTCCTCCAGACCTTTTAGTTATTGGCCTATAGTAAAAAGCTGTGCCCATATATTTTCTTGTGATTTATTTTAAGTGCTTCGTTATTTCCTCAAGTAAAGGAACAGATCCATTTATCTCCCCTGTCTCCAGAATACCACAGTTTGGCAACTCCTCCCTGTTTCCTCCTTCGCTCCTTTCCTCAATGTGTTTTTTTTTTTTGCCTTTTCCACCTCCCGTCCTTATCCACCATGAGGATCTCTTCCATAATCCATTCCTTCTGTTCCTGCTTTCATTCTCTAACACTGCATACTCGTTCCTCCTCCACCACCTGGCCCCTTTCCCTTACGCTTTGCCAGTGGCCTTGTGGCTTTGTGGCCAATCCTCTGAGGTACATGTTTGGTTTGGTGTTTCTGTGTAAAACGCAGAAATGTTCTGTCCTCCTTTTGAGGCAATGACATCAACCCCCAAATCTGTCCACATGTTTGTCCTGTACATGAGTCCAAGCCACTTTTCCTGAACTCCTGCTGACTTTGTATCTGTATTTGTGTTATTTTCAGGATGATCCGTGCCACAAAGCCCTCTGAAAACACAGTTATTCTAGCTGTTGTGCCACAAAAGTAAGTCTGAGTTAATCTTCTTTGTAAATTTTAATATTCTGTGTTAATAATTAATTAGAAAATTATTCACATAAGACTTTAAGGTCTTTAAGGCTCAACTTCAAAACAAACTTCAGATGTTTACAGTATCCCATTAGTATGGATGCCTTTGAATGGGGTAGTCTTTCAAAGGCATTTTATCTTACTATGTTGGGTTCATGTACGACATTACACTTTTTTTAACCATATTAAGCAACCATGAACTCTATCAGGTTCATTTTTTAACTAGACTTTTAATTTGAAAATCAGCACATCAACCGATTATTCCAACACTTTCCAAACAAAAAGTTATTCCTCAAAATATTTTCATATATTTTTATATAATTCTCTTAAAATCTGCAAGGTCAACAGCAACCTGTCTACGGTTATGGTTGGATGGTGGATTTTATTTTAGTCACATGGTAAACAGACAAATTTTCAGTTGCGAGATGATGTTATAATTTAGTATTACTTTTTGATTTTTAGATTGTTTGTTCAAAATAGAAGAAATGTCTATTAAAAAAGGATGGGTATCAACCAAATGCAAGAACATTTTTTTTTTCAATAATATGACTTTGCTGTTGAAAATCTTCTTGTCTCCTCACCCTCAACCCAGTCACGGCAGATGGCTCCGCCCCCCTGAGCCTGGTTCAGCCGGAGGCTTCTTCCTGTTAAAAGGGAGTTTTTTTTACCACTGTTGCCAAGTGCTTGCTCATAGGGGGTTGTCAGATTTTGGGGATTTTCTCTATATTATTGTAGAGTCTTTACCTTACATTGCAAACTCCATTGAAACAAATGTTATTTTCAATTGGTGCTGTTCATTTTGGATGCAATCACTCATATTAAAAAAAAGTTGACTGACTTTTGAGAGTTTAAACTGCACAGTTTTCCATTCATTGTTTGAGCAGACCACTCCAAGCATGATTTTGAAAAATGATTGTGGTTGCAGATGGTAATCATTCTTTTCTGTCACTGTATAGACCGTCTGACCAAGAAGAGCCATCTGTTCTTCCTCTCCTCTGCGCTGGATTTAGCAGAGTACGTCCAACAACTTTTGCCTGTGCTTGTGACTTTGTTTATATCAGATGCAGCCCTCAATGTGTTATGCTTGTTTCTCCTTGAGGCGTTTCATTGATCATCTAAAGATTTTAAACACTTAAACAGCAGCGTGTTGCCAGTTTTGAAAGAGGCACTTATTGTCCATGTTTTTTAATGGTGTGAAAATGACGTTGGAGGTTTCAATACGATTTGCTACTGACTCATTCAATCTTTCCACCCCCTTTCTCTCCTTCAAATGTCACTTAACCTTGTTTGGCCTCCAGAGATTTGTGGAGAACAACAGTGTGTCAGCATGCTATAATGAGCTCATACAGATGGAGCATGGAGAGGTGCGCTGCCAGTTCAAACTCAGGTACAAGTGGAGGGCAAAGACACATAGATCATATCATGCAATTATGTGAACATGCACAAACATATACTGTGTAAGTGTTCTTTGGTACTGAGTTTCCTAATTCTTAGTCTGGTGGCTTTATTCATCCACAGGGCTTGTAATTCCATCTTCACTGCCTTGGAGCACTGCCAAGAAGCTGTGGAGATCACCAGTGAGGACCACATAATACAGGTAAACATATTACACACCTTCCAACGCAGCAAAAGCTTTTCTTTAAATCACAAAGCTAGTGATAGTCAGTATTTGTGTAATATCTGTGGCTCTCATCCTCAAGTAGTTAATCCAAAAAAACTGTGTATGACTTTAATACCTTTACATATAAACTGTGTCTCTCTTAGTTTTTGTCTTGGTCGCGGCAATTGTGAAATAAATAGAAACACAACAAAGCATCACATTTACAGATTTTACATACATTAACAACAATGTGCTACATAAAAAAGTCGAAGTCGAGTCACCGCAAAACAACATGTACCTCCTTATAGACAGATTATCCTTTCCCCCTCTGTATGGGGAAGAGGTGATCAGGGAAATTTAGACATAAGAGGACAATAAGAAAAATATACAACTTTTTCCTTTAAACTGTTAGCAGTCGGACGTACCGCCCACGGGACATTGGATGGTTTAGGGGACTAATAGGACTGCTAAGGGGTTAATCTAATAGTTTTGTGGTTATTTCACAGTACGTGAATCCAGCATTTGAACGGATGATGGGCTATCACAAAGGGGAATTGATCGGGAAAGAACTGACTGAACTTCCCAAGAGTGACAAGAACAGAGCTGATCTGCTGGACACCATCAACAACTGTATCAAAAAAGGAAAGGTCAGTCCTGTACCCATTCATCTCCATCCAACCTATCTGTGAGATCTGACAGCATTTCATACCCTGACTGGCCTGTCGTCTCTGAAGGAATGGCAGGGCATTTATTATGCCAGAAAGAAATCAGGGGACAGTATACAACAGCATGTGAGGATAACACCAGTCATCGGCCAAGGAGGGTAAGCCAAGTTAAACAAGCGAACGTTGTTAGTGTACAGCTCCTAGAAAGAAATCTCTGATTCCTGTCCTCTTCCCACAGGAAAATTCGACATTTTGTAGCCATCAAGAGACCGCATATTGACAACAACAATCAGGTTGGTGAAATGATCATCTGATCGTTTACTCTGAAAAGTTTCCTTCCACCCAAGGCAGGGACAATCATTTCCATCAGTTTGTCACTAACACTGCAAAAAATAAATACCAATCTGAATTTTAGTATGGGTGAGGCATGGCTAATTCTTTAATAATACTGTACTTAGTGTAGAAGCTAATTGTACAAACCTTGGCAAAGGAGAGGTCATTATACAAGGAGTGAAACAGGAGCTTCAGCAATAACAACTAGAAGTTTAAGGTTTTAATCAAATATTTACTCATTCAGGTACTTAAGGATTCTAATGTGGGACTCTCTTTCTTTGCTTACTTGGGGTTTTGGTTGGGTTTTGCTATAGCCACATCTTTAAATGATTCAGTTCTAATATATTTATGTAGTGCCAAATCACAATAACAACCACCTATGAGCAAGCAATTGGCAACAGTGGGAAGAAAAACTCCCTTGTAACAGGAAGAAACCTCCCAACAGAACCAGACTCAGAAAGCGGCAGCTATCTGCCGCAACCAAGTTGGGGGTGAGGAGACAAGAACAATTTCAACAACAAAGTCATATTGTTGAAAAAAAAAAATCATATTCTTGTGTTTGGTTATTACCCATCTCTAAATGAAAAATATTCAGCTCCTACGTGCAGGTGCTTGTAGTTGAAAAAAGAAGAAGAAGAAGAAGAAGAAGAAAACGGGCAGCTACTAAATATTATTTGTGTTGTGGAGCTTAAACAAATGTCAAACTATCAGCAGTGCTAATGCTGCAGTGCTTTTTGGCCCAATCAAGTCTGGTGATGAAATATACCACTGAGTCCAAACTGCACTTAGTCACTGATTGCAAACTCTGCTGGCAGTTACATCTATATAAATGCGTCAAATGATCTGTAGGCTAAAGTGTCAGATTTACTTCAATACCTCAACAAAACATGTGGGCTCACAGGCTTCCAGCACTATTGAGCACCATGCACAGCTACTCTGAAGCAGGTGCCGCTACGCTCAGCTGGGTTCCCAGCCAATAACGTCATACTATGCTAAGCTACAACTAAGCACCAGGATCTCCCACTAAGGCCTAAGGAAGGCGAGCAGCCAGGCACCAAGGCTATTTATACCCTGGGCAAAGCTGCACAGGCACTAGGTTTAGCTCATTGCTCTCTTTCATCGTGTGTGCATAAGGTGAGTCAGCCACTGACATTTGACTGCCAAAGCCAAATGGCACTCATTCCTGCTTGTCGGGGCTGGGAATCCTTAGGCATGGCAGCGACTGATCCGATTCTAGTCATCCCCCACAACCTAAGATGTGCAGTGTCAAACTGGATGGTATTATCACAGTGTCATTTCTAGATTTTATTCATTTTTTACCACAAATTACCATAGGGAATTGATGCAAAGAAGCAACAAAGTTTTAGCATTTGATGGCTCTCTAGAACTAAATCATGACCCGAGGCATGTAGTACATCTTCACTGAGATTATCTATTTGACAACCCAAGGCCACGAAGGCCATTTCAGGATACCATTTATGTGACATTGGATACCCGCTTAAAATCTTTTCCTCTGAGCACTTAAAGCCCCACATTACTCCTCATCTTTTCCCACCCAGATGTTTGGCTGTAGACCATGGTTTCCGTTTCATTGTGTTGTTTAGTTAGCACTCCAGACTTACAGCAGGTTTTGGGTCAGTTTTGTTTGTCTTTCCCCTCATTATAATCTCAACTATTACAAGCTTTAGCCAAGCCAATTTAAAAGATGTTTAGATGTCTGCTTGTGCTTTGCAGCCCAAGAAGAACATTAAATTGTAGCCAGTTAAATCTGGAAACTTTGCATGTCATTAGACATGTTTACACTGTCTTAATCCTATTTACTCAGTATGAGACACACTCAATGCCTAATAGCAACTTTAAGCAAAGGGGGTATAAAGAAAGACCAACTAGCCAATTCTATGAGATTGAAATGGATTTTAAAAATGACATGTAGCTGAAGTGTTCAAGGGATAGTTTTCATTGCTCCATAGCGAAATTACACGTTCCTAAATATGTAAAAATGATTTACAGTTATAGACAGTGTTTGTATACATGCATAAATGATTGCATAAACATGCAGGTTGCGCTGTCAGCAAGTTGCATAGGTGCAGTGAGTCACTGGGTAAGGAAAATCTTCTTAACCTGATTAGAGGCTCTACCCATCCGAAGAACCTGAGTGTGACTAACAGGATGTACCATGCAAATTGTTACCTATATAAATATGCTGTATTAAATATATGCATGCAAACACACATATATATTGAGAGAGAGGCAGACACAGCAAACAAGTTTAAAATACACAAAAGCTCATAGCCATGAGTTCTGCCTTTCCAAACATTTGTGAAAGAATGGGGCATTCTAAAAGGTTCACTGAATCATGTGTAGTAGTTACTGTAATAGAATGTGACAATGGTACTGGGTCAGTTCTTGAAATTCCTTCCTTCCTAGATAATCAACCTTAAGAGACATTATTGCAAAGTGGAAACATTTGGGAACCACAGCACCTGAGCCACAAAGTAGCAGACCATGTAAAGTTGCTGAGTGCAAAGAAGTGCACAGCGAAAAAAAGTTTTCCATCGGTGTGCAGACTTCAGACTCCTTTAACATCAGCATGAAAACCGTGTACCAAGAGCTTCAGGGCATGAGCAGGGAACTCCCACACGTGACCTTAGCACAAAAGAGAAAATAACAGAATAAGCTGCTTAGCATTGGCAGAGGACATTTTGCAAGTTCTTAATGGGCACAACCCACGTAATCAACTCTGTTGCTCCACCCACAGATGTGTTTTACTTACAAGGAAATAAAATTTATTCCCAAGAAGCACTCTTACAATAAAGAAATAATCCACCAAACACAAATTTCTTAACTTTTTAAAAAATAAATGAATCTATGATTTAGTGCATTGAAATGTATGTTACCATTAGCTTGACTCATAAGAATTGTATAAATATCACTATATAAAGAATCAAACGCAATTAGCATACTGCTAGTGTCACTGCGCTTGAGCCTATAGTGTGTGTTAACATGCTAAGTAGTTACTAGTTTTTAGTCTTTGAATTAAGAAGTGCTATGTCACTGATACAGAGACAGGGTGGGTTTATATTTATTAAGATCTTGTCCTGCAGACATACATTTTATGATATGCCATTTTTATATACTACATAAATCCATTCTGATCAAACACGTTGGTAACACACTGGATCACTTTGCAGGCTATCCACTTTACTTACTTAACGACTTTAATACTGTATTCATAGTCATACTGAATTCTCCAGTCATACATAGGTTGTATTCACAATGCTCTGTTATAGTAATACAAACCTGTATATTCCTTGCAGTTCCTTTGCCTAAATCAATAATTTTTATAGACTGCTATATCTTAACAATGATACAGAAGGCTGAAATAAGATTGGAACAAATTCTTAAAATATACAGAATGTTAAAATAAATCCAGCATTTTGCTTTAGCCCCAAATGCGTCTGAATATATCCATCACAGTAAATGCATATCCACAGTGCACACCTAAATTTTAATCATCTCTTGCTCTCTGTCCACCAGCTCCACAAGTTCAATAAGGAGGAGAGATACAGCGGGGAACATTCTCACTCAGGTATCTTACAACATTTTTTTTCTTTCACAGTTCCTTTATCTCTTAATTGCAGAGGTGTATTTTATGGTTCTCGCAAGTAGAACTAATAGATAAATATAGAATGATATGGAATTATTTTCGGATAGGCTCTACTTGGAGAAGGTAAATTATAGAGTTCATCCACAATGGTCTGACAATGAGAAAATAGGATGGATCATCTCAAACTGGTTTCTTGAATATGACAGCGGGCTGTACTCAAATGCATAAGGCATTGTAACCTTAGTTCTCTGAGTGAGAGAATGTCACATATTCCAAGTGGAGAGATAGTCTCGATATGATAGAGAACTCCCGTTTCACCGCATCCCAAAGGTATTCTGTAACCAACCGTTTTACATCATGGATGTGTAGCCAACAAACATAAAGCAAATGCATGTGGAGCAGAATTTTTGAGGACTGTTTTCTGCACCTTGTCGAATCTTTGTCACAAAGAATTAAAGCAGTTCTGAAGGAAAAAGGGGATCCTACCCAGTACTAGTAAAGTGTATCTAGTAAAGTGGCTGTTAAGTGTATTAAATTAAATTAAATCAAATCAAGCAGCTAAAGCAAAAGTATTATCTATGCAGAATATATAAATGACACTGTTGGTTTAATAATTTTTGGTTCATTAATGTGTGTTTCATTTTAATGTTGCACATGTAGATGACTTATTAACTGCTGGGTAACCTTATTTCCAGTATTTAAGACTGCAGACTGTTACGTAGCTTTAGCTTTAAAATAAATGTAATGGAGTATAAAGTAAAACACTGTAAATGCAATGGAGTTGAAGCAGAATGCTGAATAATAGTGAACTTTAAACAAGCTACAAGTACATTAAAACTGTACTCGAGCTAAGTCCTTGAGTAAATCTACTTTGTTAAATTCCGCTGTCCTATCCATGCTCTCTTTAAATGTCAGTGGATATTGTAAGGGGGTCACCAAAGTAAACAAGTCCACGTTTGTTATTATTCTCAAAGATGAAATTACTTGATCGTATTACATGCATTACTTCCATCCGCAGAGTGCTATTCTCTACGACACCGAGACAGAAGAAAAGATTCGATGGACGACCGATCGGTGAGCTCCCGTAGTAGTGACGGTAAGGATATTTAAAATGTGTTTTACGCTTTTGAGCCTCTGTTTAAATTGGTACAACTCTAGTTTGCGCCACTCCAAAAGCACAACCAGACATCTAAACATATTTTCAATTGGCTTGGCTAAAGCTGATAACAGTTAAGATTATAATGAGGAGAAGATAAACAAAACAGGCCCCAATCCTGATGTACAGCAAGTGTGGAGCCCTAACTAAACAACACAATGTAACGGGAGCCATGGTCTACAGCTAAATATCTGAAGAAGATGTTTGAACACAAAACAACCGTAGGGGATTGAACATAATAAAAAAAAAATGTGAATAAAGCAAAGGAGAACACAAAATAGGAGTGGGTAAAGAAAGAATGAAGGAATGATTGGAGATAGCGAATGAGAGAGTGAGTCAGACTGTGTTATGGTAGGTGCTTGAACTAAAGAGATCGTACAGAGAGATGTTGAGGGCTGATAACATGCATACCTCCCTTTTCCACTCACTTTGACGCAGCTGCTATTTTAAGTTATCTCAGCTGCATGCTGCTTCTCCTCTGCTCACCCTCAAAATATTTTCTCTTGCTCTTTTTTATCTCTTTCATTCATGAGCATTTTGATGAAAGCCAAAATTGTGTTATTATTACTGATAATCCACAAGCCATAATATAGTGATCACAATACCAATACCATAATGTTTTCTACATTGCAGCTCCCAGTTTACAAAATCGAAGATACTCTTCTGTGGCCAGGATTCATTCTATGACCATTGAGGCTCCAATAACAAAGGTATGCTGCTTTAAGCAGTGGAGTTAATCATTTACAGTAAAATAAACCTTAAATGTACCAAAGCAAATGCTATGTAAAAATGACCAGAAGTCACAACTTGCAGTGTGTTTTTATCCTTCGATGCCAGAGACAATATGTTTGTGGGTTGTCTGTCCAGCTCTCAGCATGTACCTTCATCCATCTGTTTTGGGGGTTTTTTTTTCATTACAAGAAGTCACAATGACTCAACAAAGAACTTAGAAGACTTAACCTGTTAAAGGTCACTGAGGCTCCGAAAACACTTTTTTTTTCTTAGTTATAACTCTTTAAATTTCATACTATTTTGATGACAGCATTGTACACAAATAAAATGAAACCTCCGTTTGTGAAAAAGTAAAATAGTGGCATTTTATTTCCAAAGTCAGCTTTATTGTGACTTCGTAATGTTTTTCACTGTTGTGGCTGTTGTCCAAGTAACTCAGGAACAAACTGGAAGTGTTTGGACACATTTATAATATCTAACATATCAAGCATTTAGTAGCTTGAGGGACCACCTTTCACAGCAATAACAGGAAGTGCTAACTGCTAACTGGCTACTCTTTTCCCTCTTTCCCAGGTAATAAACATCATCAATGCAGCTCAGGAGAGCAGTCCAGTAACGGTAGCCGAAGCTCTGGACCGTGTGTTGGAGATCCTGAGGACCACTGAGCTCTACTCCCCTCAGCTTGCCTCCAAAGAAGATGACCCACACACAAGCGACCTGGTTGGCGGGCTTATGAGTGTAAGAATTAGTTAGTATACGTACTTAAACATTGGTTCGTAAGTTGAGATGCCTGAAACACTTTATAAGGAGACATAAGAAACAGGCTGTTTTTAATCACAGTGTAAAACTGTTACCTCATGCATATAAAATATAAAAAGGTATTTTCATTCAGCCGAGAAATGTTTGCCTTCAGCAATCACGCTTGTGTTTTTGTACTGCCAACAGTTTTTATTTAATTTGAATTTGTTGAATAAGCCCAACTATGAGGTGAGTCACTGCACGCATACATTTCTGTTTTGAAAGCAAGGTTTAGGTTCCAGCAGCAATATTATAGACCGCTGATGCAGTCTATCAGTCAAATTGTTTAATGTATGATTTTTCTCCGCAGTATAGATCTGCTGTGTTTTCTAGTAACTACCAAAAGTACATCAATTCAGTGACAATGTGATGGTAAAGGAGATACCAGCTCTACTTTTCTCCTCCTATTGTTATGGTTCAGGCTCATCCTTCAGGCTCATCTTGTATTCATCTCTCCAAAGAAGTTTTTTCAAAACAGGCTCTTTCTGACAAAGTCTTATCTGGCCTTCATGTTCTTGAAAGTAACCAGTGGTTTGCACCTTGTTGTAAACACTGTATGTCCGTTTATGAAGGCGTCTCTTGCTTAAAGACTTTGAGTCTTGACAAAAGTCTTCTTGTCAAGAGGTTTGTCTTAACCAAGAACATAATTCTTTAATTATCCCCTTTAGTTGTCTTTTAGTGTTGCTGTGCATTCATTCTTTTAAAAAATATACCAGATTGTTGATTTGGCCACATCAAAATCTCTCTGATAGGTTTATTTTAGTTCCACTGCTTAATTATGGCCTCCTTCACTTGCATCAATATCTCTGTGGACCTTATAGTTAAGAGTTCCAGTGCAAAGACACCAAATGCAAGTTCAACACTCAAAATCAGCTTCAGAAAGTGCCTTTCTGATGATGGGGTACTGTATTTAAAAATATCTAAACTAAACAGTTAATGCAGTACTTTTAAACTCCATTGGTTAAAGCGCTGCACTGAATTACAATAATTGAAACACACTTTTAATGGTATACAGAGGCACAACTACAAAAGAAACTCTGCAAAATAAAGTTTTAAAAAGCTTTCTCTCCTTGGAAGTTTTACTTGTTTCACCATCTCTGTGGGGAGTGGCTCACTTTTGGAAGCAGACTCGAGTGGTCAGTTAGAGAACAGCAGTTTTCTTGTCTTCCATGTTGGGTTTATTTTGATGCTTAGTTAATCCACCAACTCTCCCCAATAAATGCATCTTTCACTCCAGTTTGTTGCACTGTGTGTGCAAGTTGAAATATTGAGCAAGGCTGCCACATTATTTGTTTTGGGGTTCTAATGGAATAGTCAGATGTTAAGAATAATAGGCTCACTGTCTGTCTCAAGAAACAAAATAATTTTCAAAAAATCATTTTCTTCATTTTTTTCCCCTCCAGGATGGGCTGCGCAGACTCTCTGGGAATGAATATGTTTTCTGCAAAAGTAAGTTTTAATGCACTGTGATATCAATGGCAACAAAGAAAAAGAAACAGAGGAATACAGTGGGTACTATTGCGCACTGGTGTGTTTTCATGAGTGAATATCCACAACAAGGGGGTGAAAAATCAATATATATTGCACAATAATCCTGTGCATTATGTAAATATTTCAATGTATGTATAAATATATTGGCAACACCGGGGCAATAACTTCATAGTAGCTAGCTGTTAATGAAGCATTAGGTTAAAAACATGTGGGACTAGAGATATGTTTGGGTGTTGCCTTTTGGGTGTTGAATGTGGTCTGTTGTCTTGATGGAATCCCTTGAATAAATATTAAGTTTGAAGTTGTTGTTGGCAGGATGAAAGAGTCGCAATGTTCTTGTAACATTGTAGAGTGTGTATTTTTCCATCTCAGTTTATTACATAACCCCATTATAATGACTACAGTCACAAGAGCACTTAACTGAGAGATGACCCAAAGCAAGAGTCAATTTTCTGAGATATGGTCTAATTTGTCATTATGTTGAAAGCTGTGTCTTTGTAAGTGTAACTGCAACACCACCGGTGCTCCTTCACTTCTCTAAATAATTTTATTGCACACTGTATTGCTACCACAGTCTTTACATTTTCAGAACAATTAGCTATAGCTATTGGTATAAATATTACAGAGCCAACACAGGTACAATAGTTCGTTGGTCTTTTTATGGTGACATTTTTATGTGTGTGTGTCTATTAGACATGAGTCAGAGCCAGCTGGCTATCCCAGTCACTTTGAATGATGTTCCTCCAAACATCGCTGAGATGCTGAATGATGAGGAGTGCTGGGAATTCAACATCCTGGAGCTGGAGGCAGCTACACACAAAAGGTACAAAGATGATATAATCCAGAGAGTCCAAACAATATCAAATTCCTTGGATTCGAAAAAGCTACGTATGCTTATTGGCTTCAATTCATTTCGTTATCCAGTAGTGATCTGTTTTGCTGCATTTTTCTTACTTTAACCTGTTCCACGCATATTCATCCAGTCCTTTGTGTGATCCCCTGCAGACCACTGACATACCTAGGCCTGAAGATTTGCACAAGTTTTGGAGTGTGTGAGTTCTTAAACTGCTCGGAGGCTACACTGCGCTCCTGGCTGCAGCTCATTGAGGCCAGCTACCACTCCTCTAACTCCTACCACAATTCCACACACGCTGCAGATGTGCTGCACGCTACAGCCTACTTCCTACGCAAAGAGAGAGTCAAGGTTAGAAGAAAAGCACACATATAAACTGAGTGAGCGGCACATGAGAATGATAAATCTAAAACAGGAGATACTAAATAATATATACACATTTAATGAATTGTATATTTTGGTTTATTAAGGAAAATATACCAAAAATACACCCAAAAAAACATGTTATGCTAATAACAAGAAAATGTAATGATACTGTTGATAGAAGATGTTGTTTGCTTGTGCATATTATTAAAAAAAAACTCTAGATATGTTTGCATACCAGCATTTATTAAAAGGAACACAAGCAAAAGATCTGAATACGATTCATTGTACAATCCTAATTCCAAAAAAGATGGGATACACATACAGATGAACTGGAATAGGACTGGGCGTCTCTGTTCACGGCACCCCTTGTGTTCTAAAACCAGATAAGCAGCAGAAAATGATGGTGGATGGATTTAAATTCACTTTATTTTATTTGCAATTGCAACTGAAAAAAGCCTCATATAGCATCGTGCAATACAGATATAGTATTCATTATATAGATTAAATGAAATCCATCCATCCATCATTTTCTGCTACTGGCTTTGGAACACGAGGGGAGCAATCTAAACAGAGATGCCAGGACCTATTCCAGCAAGTTCTTGCATCCATATATGCAGAGCAGTCCAGTACTGATGTGGCCTTTTGTTTCCACTGTTTTCTTCAGAGCAGTCTGGACCAGCTGGATGAGGTGGCAGCACTGATAGCCGCAGCAGTCCACGATGTGGACCACCCAGGCAGGACCAACTCCTTCTTGTGTAATGCAGGTAGTGAACTGGCCATACTCTACAATGACACGGCCGTTCTGGAGAGCCACCACGCAGCCCTCGCCTTCCAGCTCACTGTCCGTGACAGCAAGAGCAACATTTTCAAGAACATCGACAGGTCAGTAGAAGCAGCACACCTGCTTTTTTTTTGTTTTTGTTTTCTTCTTAGTCACAGCTGATTTACATTAGCATGCAGCAATAATGCAGAATGTGAATAGATGCCGATTTTATTTTACCCTTTGCATACAGGACTCAGTTCCGAACGCTGCGACAGGCCATCATAGACATGGTGCTGGCCACAGAGATGACCAGACACTTTGAACACGTCAGCAAATTTGTGAACAGTATCAACAAGCCAATGGCTGCCATAGAGGAGACCAGCACGAGTGTAAGTGTCAGATAGCTTCAGAGACACTCAGTAAGCGCAAATAATAAGGTGTATACATTTTGGAAAAATACTGAATGTAATAAACTTTTTAAAAGAAAGAATTATTAATTGTTGTAATTAATTGTTTTATCTCGACTAATATATATGTGTTAACCCCATAAAGCCTGAAATATGAACTCATTGTAGCCAGAATGTTCTAATCTTTGAAACTGGAGTGTTTATTGAAGCACAAGAAATGAAATATCAATTTTAAATTTGATTAGTTTTAATTTGTATCATTCTTTTGCTGCAAAAACTCCCAAAACCTCATGCATTGAATACTGGAGGGGGAAACTGTGACTGAGATTAAAATTTGATTAACTGCTCAGCAGTAGTTTGCTTAGTCTGCCGACGGATGAAGGCCTGGGGAGAAAAAGAGCAACACTTCCTGTTTGGTTTACTTTTCTTCTTCTTTTCTTTTTTTGCAAACAATACAAATGGTTCCGCATTAGCTCTTTCCAGGAAACGTTCCAGGAAGTTATTAGAAATCAGAGTTACAAAACAGATATGTGATGAGACTATATGTCTCAGTATATGTGTTTGTGTGTCTTATGTCCTTCATTTTTCTGGATGTCCCAGATGGTTATATCTGCTGTGTCTTTCCCACAGAGCGTGAACAGTGACTGTGAGGGTCAGGCCAACATCAGAAACTCTCCAGAGAATCGTCTGCTGATAAAGAGGATGCTGATCAAGTGTGCAGATGTGGCAAACCCCTGCAGACCACTCGAGCTCTGCATCGAGTGGGCTGGACGGATCTCTGAGGAGTACTTTGCACAGGTGTGGGAGCATCAGTAAAACAGCTTAGTTTAATAGCGGGTTTAAAGCTTAGAACAGAATCATTACTGTGAAGATAGTCAACTGTTCATTTAATTTTATTTGTTTTTGCTTAATCACTTTGCATACTTTATTAGATAAATGGCCTCCTGCCGTCTAAGCTCCCTGTTTATTGAATTATGTGCGTTTCCCTGCAGACAGATGAGGAGAAAAGACAAGGGCTGCCAGTGGTGATGCCCGTTTTCGACAGGAACACCTGCAGTGTCCCCAAATCTCAGATTTCCTTCATAGACTACTTCATCACTGATATGTTTGACGCCTGGGATGGTAAGAGCAAAAAATTCAACTGTGTTCTGTGTTTCTCTCTCAGGGGTGGTTTTCCACACAGTCTTCTTAGTCATTTTCTTCTTTGTTTCCATTTCAATAGAGTGGAGTATTATATTTACACACATATTAAGTCTGACTGTGCAGCTAAAAGGTCAGGATCATAAATCATAGATTGGGACTTGCTGCTTAGCAAGGTTAAATGTTTACTTTCACAGAACAAAAGTAACTGTTGTTCTATAAGAAGCCATTTGCTTGCTAAGGATTCCTCTAATGCTTTCACTCAGACCATTTCCCAAATGATCTTTCACATCTTTTCTCTTGAAGTGATAATTGTTTCACATTCTACATGTGACTGCAATCTTTACTAAATGTCCTAAAGTTACCAGCCTGCTTCTGTTAGTCCAAGCAGTCTTGTTCTCTTGTTTCTAAATACATTCTGTGGATGTGAGATTGATAAAAAGAAAATGCATTCCCGACAACACTGTCATCAACAGAAACTGGTGAGATTTGCTCAGATTGCAAAATAAAGACTGTGACAAAGTTAAAAACTAGTAATATAAGCTGGACAGTTGCTGACTGGTTCATAGACCACCATTTAAAATGTCACAAAACGGCCGGAGGCCGAGTACCAAAAATCAAACCCACGTGCAGAAAACCCAAAGCGGAGGCTGAGGAAAGGGTTTAACAAAGGTTTATCAACTAGCACAAAAGTGACATTTACGATAGTACCTGACTTAAGGCTTGACACATGGGGCGTGAGGGTCTTGGTCAGGGGAGAGGGATAAGCAAGGGGACAGGTCCAAGAAAGCAACGGCAGCTGGCTGGTGATTAGGTACGTATGTGCAGGTGGGAGATGGAAGCGTTGAAGGAGAGGTGGTGCGGTCCAGGTGGGTTTGGTGGTGTGTGGCAGTTGTCCTGAGCGGTGAAGGTCCCGAGGTGGTGCAAGGGCAGGAGGGCAGGCAGGTGAGGCAAGGAGATGATTCTGAAAGCAGGCGGGTTAACCAGATTTCCAAGATGAGTGGTTCAGTGTGATGGAATTTCCTGGAGTAAATAGGGTAGTTGACGAACTAGTGAGGAAGCAGTGTCAGCAAGCAGCTTAAATCTCCAACCTGATTGCCTCAATCAGCTTCAGGTGATGGAGGCTGTAGGCCCTGCCCATGGGTGGATACCAGGGAGGTCCAGACCTTCAGGAATTTTACAGCCACACACCCAGACCATGACATAAAAGGGTTTTTTTTCCTTTTGTTTGTTCGTTTTTGGGATGCCAGAAAAGGCCAGATTTGAGTGAAAGAATAGAAAGCTGCATCCATAAATCAGCTTGATATTAACTGGAACACTAAATTTGGCGACTGAAAATCCTAAACTGTAAATTTATATACCAAACAAGACAAAACAGCAACCACCTGTCACTCAAAGCCAAGCCCCTAATAACTTGCAATAAATCACAACAACAGTTGCCTGAAGGTGCTTTGAATGAATCAAATAATAATACAAAACTTTGAGCCTGCAAGGCTTCGACTTGACAGCGTTATCGTTAACTCTGTTTCCCTGGGTCTTTTCCCGTGTGTTATGAATAAATCTTATTTTTTTGGTACCGGTACTGGTTTTATTTTGTTGTATTTATCCGCGACATCTTAAAGGCCGGTCCGTGAAAATACTGTCGGACATAAACCGGTCCATGGTCAATAGGATGCAATGCCTCCGCAAAACAACTTCTGGTAACATAGAGGTCCATGGGAAAACAGCCCTCTGCTCTCTTGTGCTGTGATCTCAGTAGACACTTTCCTAATAACTTTGTGTGGTCAGTCACAAGTGTCAGGTCATGTTGAAATACAACATATACATTTTCTTAAATATGATTATTATTAGGAAATACTGTGGCTCAGGATTCTAAAACAGGAAAAATTAAATTTTTCTGGATCAGAAAAAGGAGAATTATCCGGGGTATGCTAACAACGGATCAATCACAAAATTGATAGCCAGTGAGTGTGCAGGGTCCTGCAGTTATCCTTTTCCAAAACAGCAAGACTGCAGTGGCTCGGCTCATCAGCCTAGATGATGATTTCTGTTTGAACCATAAACCTTGCTTTGATTTCAGTTTAAAGAAGCTCCTCCATTAATATCTTCAAATGGCTGCTGATTTATGTATTAATGGTTTCTTTCTCTGTTAAGCCAGGTTTTAGTTTTCAGGATCTGAGCGCATTCACATATAACTCTTCTGCTGCACAAAATCATTACTATGAGTGCAGTTTGCTCCAGTTTGTTATCATCACTGAACAGTTTGCTCTCCTCTAACTTTACAGCTGGGCTTCATTTGTTGCATTAGTAAGGTAGAGCTTAACAGCTTGCACATGTAAAACTTATTCACCTACCAGAGAAAATATGCTGAAAAAAAAAGCGTTAATGAAAATGTGACTCTTCCAGCTGTCTGTTCAGCATAAGTTACCATAGTGATTTAGCCAGGTAGAAAGGGAGCCACTTTCATGACACAGAAGACTCGTCGTAGCTCACTAACCTATTAATCTTGCTTCCTGCTACAGCCTTATGGCCAGCTCTAATGTTCCTCAAGCTGTATTTGTGCATGTGGTGGGGCGCATTATCCCACTTGATTTTGGATAGGGGGATAAGTAACAGCCGCATGAATGCCAGGACCTACCCTGTCCCAACAGGAAATTGCATTGTAACATGATTAATGTTACTTACTGCAATGTTGTGTCTGCTCAGTGTAACCTTTCTTTGGGGACAGGCACTAAACCAGTCTGGGTTAAGACCTCTGAATCACTTCCCACATTTCCAGTTTGTTCCATAACTCAAATGCAATAATTGAAACAATTAGGCATTTCAGTCCAACTAAAACAAAACCTCTGACAGTGCCATCTTGACTCCTGGCCTCTTTTATTGCCGTCAGTGATTTTTTTTCTTAGTAGATTGCAAGAGAGAAAATGACAGGAAAGAGATAGTGAGAGAAAGTGATGATGAGTGGAACGGGATAGTATGCTGCTTGTACTAGTTCCCCATTCCCACTGAATTCCCCTCTTAGCATAGTCTCCCCGAGAGGCAGCTTGTTTACTGTCAGCTCTGATGTCACGGAAAGATTCCAAACGCCAGTGGGATGAGGAGAAATTACAAGAGTATCAGGGGAGTGGAAGTCAGGGAAATAGTGGCAGGGATGAGGGTGGAGGGGTTGGCTACAATCACTCGACAAGCAGCCGAGCAGAACTTCACTTGCACATAAACACTAAAACACACATGCAGCCTCTTTCAATTCACCAGGGTCACTGTCAGGACAAGGCAGGGGTCATTGTTAGTTCCACAGATGCAGTGTGGCTCATCAACAAGGCCGGAAACAAGGATGTAAACAACACAAGCCGAAGCTGTGGTGCCTCAGGCTGTGGGTGTGTGTGAGAGAGAGAGAGGCAGAGAGACCTTTGAGCCCCAGCTGACCTTTAATGTGGGAGAACCATTGTAGAGTCTATGTAGCATTAGCAACTGTACACAAACTGACTGCACATAGCCTGCTTACAAATGTTAACAGTCCGTGTGGAATGATAACAGGAAGTCAGTGGCAAATGTAGGTGTTTATCCCTGATTTCCTGTTTTTGTGTGTCTGTGTGTGTGTGTTTGTTTGTTACTTTGTTTTTTGTTTTGTTTTTTGAAAATATAATTTACATATGTGTTTGTTGCATTCTCTCTACTGGGATTATTCATGGTTCTTTGAATAATCTGATATTTTGAGACTTGATACATTAAAATTACTTGTATAGATATGAGACATATGACCAACCAGGCTATGTCTGCAGGTGTCCCTTTAATCTTTTGCCAGCTGTCATCTGTCACCATATATGTTTCACATTTTTTAAAACCACTATCAGGTGAAATGAATAAAAACTACAGTGTCAACGGGAACAGTAAGTTTTTTAGTTGCAGTCTTAGGCTTCAGTCACACAGGGATAGGGGCCTAGAGGCCAGTCACTTGGGGAAAAAAAACATATACCGAGACCAGTTGCGCGCGGTTGCTGGCAGTAGCTGTGAAAGCGATTGCTAACGCCCCAGCTGTGCAGGCCAAGAGACCATTCAGTGACCCACTGGTAACCAGAAATGGCTAGGAAAAGTGCGTATTCCACAACCGGCTGCTGAAGGTTATTGCCAGTTGCTAGCAAGAAATTGCACATAGCTATAAAAAGCACTCTGATAATGCTTTGATTGACATGGATTTGTCTGCAAACACTACAAAGAAACTAATCATACTGTAAAGAGTTTTGAGGACAACCAGAATGCCTTCTAGTTGCACCCTTTGCACCTTTGGTTGAAGCTTTTAATGCTGAAGGCTGATGTTGTCCATTTCCAGTAACTGACAACAACCTCCAACAACTATTTGCCAACTAGTCAGAGAGTAGACATTTTTCCTAAGTGACCGGAGGTTGCCAGGGTTCTCACCACCTTTTACAGAGGCACCATTGAGAGTGTGTTGACAAGCAGCATCTCTCTCTGGCACAGGAACAGCAGTGCTTCAGACAAAAAGGCCCTGAGAAGAGTGGTGAGATCAGCTGACAGGACTATTAGGGTCACACTGCCATCTATTGAGGGTCCAGCCAAACAACACTCCTTATCCAGAGCAAAAAACATCATCAGGGACACCTTCCGCCCCAACCCCAGCCTGTTCTCACTTCTGCCCTCAGGCAGACGGTATCATAGCCTGAGGTGCAGGTCGCACCTCAGGCGCTTTCCACCAGCCATCGAACTGCTGAACAGCACAAAAACAGCTTCTGTTCTCTAGATTATTATACTCTACCAATCGGTCAACAAAAAAATTTCAGTGCAATCAGCATTTCTCTTTTGCAGTAATTGAATTGTTTTTTTATTTGTGCTTTTTAAATATGTACCACTGACTTTATATGTATTTATTTATTTAATTGTTATATTTGCCTTTTTTTAATTCTATTGACATTTTTATATGTCTTTATGTAAGCTTGTGCTATGTAATTTCATTCTGCATTGCATCTTTGAGGTAGTGCTGAATGACAATAAAGTAAATCTTGAATCTTGAAGGGGTGTCAACAAATAGTCTCTCAGCTTGTGTGAAGTATCCAAGAGTCTGTGACAAGGGCTGATTTGTGAAGGCTGGAAGGCAGAAGGTTTCGAAACAGCAGTTCCTTTGTTTGTCCCTGGTATTTATTGTTTAGATCCCAGTGCCAAAAACCATGGACAGAAAACCAGTGAATCAGTGACATGGTCACTGGCGGCAAACACTAACTCATGCTTGTGGGGAGTGAAGGCTGGTCTGTCTGGTCATTTCTTAATTCTGCTTGTATGACAAAGGTGTCAAAGTAATGTGTGTGGGGCTATATAAGTGCAGACCAGTCAGAGTGCTCATGCTTACCTAATCAATCACCAAATATGCCATCAATGTCCGAACTGGATCATAAAGTAATGGCCGTGTATGAGAAATGTGATGTTTCTTTTTCGTCACATGGACAGCTAGATGAACTGCTTACCTGGAAAACCATGGGACTATGAGAAAAAGGCACTGCACACATTACCTATTACACACACCAAATCTGTCCAAAAGTGGTTTGAGGAAGATTACAAAGAAGTCAAGATGATGATTTGGCCTACAAATGTCCTGATTGAGAAATTGTGCGATGTAATGGAAAATCAAGTCCCAACCATGGACAGTTTTATCTCCTGCCTTTCACACTTTGGTGCCAGATATCACAGGATATCGTCCACTGTCTTTTGTCTGAGCTATTTTGGTGAAACCAAGAGGATCTGTGCAATATTATTTCAGTGATTTAATGGTTTGAATTTATAATTAGTTACTAACTATGACTGAAATCTGCCTAACAACACACATCTGTGTAGCCATGTTTGTTTTTAATTCTACCAACTTCAATGTGTCTCCTTGCAGCCTTTGCCACTCTTCCTGGCTTAATGGAACACCTGTCAGAGAACTACAAATACTGGAAGACCTTGGATGAGATGAACTGTAAGAGTCTACGTCCTCCGCCTCCTTCGTGACCGAGTCCACATCCCCTCCTTACATATATCACTCCAAGCAGGGTAGGACAGTGAATGAAGCCCTGCGGTGGAACAGTTACTCTTTTCAGCTGGGATTTGACAGAAGTCCGTGACCTCTCAGGGGTTCCTGGATACGGCCCGAAAATTTTGTAATCGGAAGAACACAGATATGCCGTTTCCATCTCAAATCACAGCCTCTTGTATGGTTCTAGCTGGAGGTGGTACCAGTAGAGAACAGGTGGTCACTGGAGGCTGTCTCCCTGTTGCCACTTTATGGCCCCCTAAAGTATATCTTGATAGCACCTCCATGGTGCAGTGTGGACCTGATAGGTCACCTGACAATCTGTACCATACAGTGTAATACAACAGAAACCTGCACTTTAGCTAATCATGACATCTTACATTTTGAACTCCCTTTTTGTTGACTTTGCTTTTGAAAGTTTTCTTTAAAGCAAATATTTCCTTTCTGTATCTGTATACTGCTATAAAAGAAATATGGAAAGTAAAACGTGACAATTGCCAGAGGCACTGACTGAAAACAAGAATCTGAAGTGATCTGGGCATGCATTTTAGTACAAGCGAGTGCAAATCTCCATACTTCCTTTTTCACAGTTCCAGCTAGTAAAAGGTGCTTAGCTGGAATTAATCTTTGCATTAGCTGTGAAACAACGTAGAGACTTGTGTCTGGGACCAAATTCCCTTCGATCCCTGTCCATTTGCCCTGTTCAGACAAAATCTAAAAGAAAGGGCACTTCCAGGAGTACTTACCTATGTACCAGGGTGGAGTCCACAGATTGCCGATTGTAGGGCTATTTTCGTGACAAATGCTGGATCCTGAGATCATATAGCTGCAGAATACCTTGTAAAATGCCACCTGATAACCTACTGTCATTTCTTCTACATCACCATCTTACGTGCACTGTGAAAGCAGCTAGTGAGGATAATGAAGATCCTTGTCAAACCTGCATGTCAGAACAAATGGAGGAACAGAATTGCACTGTATCAGAGCTATTTAGTTACCAGATGTTACACTCATAGCTTTGTGACACTAACTGTAGACATTTTCACTCCCCCCAAAAAAGATTGACTTGCGAGTATTTCAACAACATAGTTACAGGCTTTCTATTTGAGCCTATGCTTGGCTATTGATTGGGGTACAGAGTGTCAGGTTTTGTAGTTGACATGTTTTTAGTGATGAAATGAAGCCCACATTGACCTGACAGACATATGAAGGAGCTGCTGAGCCGTGTTTAGATTGTAAAAGCACGGCTGCAAAGCCAGCATCTCTCTCTCGTTTGTGTTTTTTGCTTAAGCAGTTTTACTTAGGCTTGAATCCTGCAATCAAAATTCACACTGAAGACATTTGGCTCCTTTTTCGGTGGAGTGGGTGTCATTTGAATGATATGACTTCCATCTACAGGTGGTAGACTCTAAATTTGTCATGTTGTCCATGAATCAAATCAAACCAACACAAAGGCCCAATTTCAATCTGGCACTTCCACTGTGTGGAAGAGTCTGTTAATTATGAAGGAGGGCAGAAATAAAGCGGAAAAAGTCTGGGATGCCCTCACCTTTCTCAGGTGAAAACAGGTACTTCCAAACAGCTCCTTTGGAGATGTGCGCCGCTATGAGATGAATGTATTAATATGTCCATCACATATTGGAAAATACGCCGTGTTGTGTTTCAGTTTGATTCAGGTATTTTTAACATGCTCCAGGTCGTTATGGTGATTTTACATACTGCTCTCTGTTATTAGAATTTGTTGCAACAAAAATAAGAACAAATAAATTCAGATGCACTTTTAAAAACATGTACAAATGTAGAAAACTTCCACAAAAGTGTTTTTCATACTGAGATAGTCTTCAAACAGTCCTTCTTATCTGTAAGTGTGTTTCCTCCATGTAGCGAGTAAGTCAGCACTGGTGCACACTTGGTGTTTTGCGGACTCTAGAGCCCACCACCACATAATGCTTGTTGGAACAGCACTTAATGTGGCCTCCACAAAGTGCAAACAAAGTGAAAGGGTGTAGGTGGCTGGACCGGAATTGGTTCAGTATTATATTTCATCCTACTATGACTGAGGATGGAATGCTATTATAATAATACTAGTCACTAGACTTGGATATTTAAGATCACCTCTGTTAAGCTTTAATATCAGAAGGTGAAAACAGCACTGGAATCCACTACTGCCAGCAGCAGAATCTTTAAAAGACTTTCATAATAAATTATTTTACAAATTCAAAAAATCAAAATGGCGATATCCAGATATCTATAGGCTACTACTGTGGTGAACTTCTGTAATTACCAGTTCTTGTCCCAACTCTCCAGCTCAGCTGCTGGTCTACATGTGCAAGTATGTGCGTGGTAATCCAGGAGACGCACATCAAGCAGTATTAACCAAAGGCACAGAGAGCTCTTTAAGGTGCCTTATTCTTTGGTCATCTTTACAGAACACAAGTATTTTTGTTGAAACATTTCCTCCTCTAGACATAAAAACAAAAACAAACTAAAAATTAAAAAAAACACAAAAAGAAGAAAAGCCATATGTGTTTTAGATGTTTTTAAAACTAGGATATTTGGCCTGATGCATCACGGTCTGTGCTACAGTTCTGAGTTAGTCAGTGTTGACGGCCCCCGAAGCTTTTTCCATGTATTTTGTACAACTACCAGATTTTTAACGACAGAAGCTGAACCAGGTGCAGTTGGATAAAACGCACGTTCCTTGTTTGTTCACCTCCATGTTCGATGTATTCACACTGATGTTGTCATTATGCTGACGATGAAGGTCTTAATCAACGCCTTAATCTTGTTACGTCTCACTGTGTAGCTCTGCTATTGTTGCAATACACTGTAAACTACCTAATGTATCTGCTGTTCTTGTAAATACTCGGCCAATATTATTTTCGCTTTGCTTTTTACATATTTTGCTTTCATACCTTTTTATTGTGGATGTTATGTGTTGCTGTTAATTTCCAAAGTTATGCTTGTTCGGGTTTTTTTAGGGTGACTTGAAAAGCGGCTCCACCTCTGAATGTTTCATAGCTGCTATCGTTGACTATGAGAAGATATTTTTGCTAGTATACGATGAAGATTTCTATTCACACAGACAATACTTCAGATTTAAATGTCAGACAGCCTTTTCCATGAGCAGTAAAAAGCAGAATATGATGAGCTCAGTTACATTCGATTACAGCTGGTGACATAACGCTTTGCTTTGAATCTACTGAGCCAGAAGCAGATTGTATAACAGCTTGTTATATAAAGAGAAGCTTTCATCACTTACAAAGATTTCGATTTCCCTCTCATCAATAAAACTGTTGGCCGTGACTGCAAGAACGTGCCAGTTCTATCTTTTCTATCATTTACAACCATGACAATAATTAGAAAGTGATTGATAGATAGTATAGAGTGCGGAAAAATATTTTTTGAAAAATATGAGGGTCATTGGCCATGAGAACTGTAATGTTTTCAAAGATGTTACTGCCTCAAGCATAGTAGTTACAAAAGCTTTACGTAAGAGCCGCCATGTTTGTTGAAAAGGTTTAATGTATTTTGCTCTCTCTGGTCTTATTTTGATGTTTTCTGTCAAACACAAAGTTGTATTGTGAGAGACAATTAAAAAGTTCTTTCAATATAAAGTTGTTACGTTTTTGGCACAAAGATGTTTTACAGGAATCCTTTCAAGCTGAAATGTTTGCCTTCTTCCCAAAAGTTGGAGGACAAAATCTAAACGATACATCTTTACAAAATAAAAGGATTCACTTACCAGCATCCTGAAATCTAACTGAATAAGTTATGTGTATTTTGTTTAAAGGTATTTACTAATGTTTTTTAAAAATTGTTGGAAAAGATTCCAAAATTAACTAAAACTGTCCACCATCTCCGATCTGTGAGACATTAATTGGCATAAACTACAGCTGGGATGTATTTTTATAATATAATATAATGTTGTACAAAACATGTTGTGATCAGGTTGCAGTGCATCAAGTCCTTTAGTTGACGTGTTGATTAAATAAAGCCCACATTGGGCTGACAAAGGTGTGAAGGAGCTGCAGAGTCAGCATCTCTCTCTCGTTCGTGGTTTTTGATTAAGCAGTTTTACTTCGGCTTGAATTCTGCAACCAAAATTCACGCTGAAGACATTTGGCCTCTTTTTTCCAGTGGGGGGGATTTCTATGTTTTGACTTCCATCTAGTGGTGTTCTAGAGGTGATACACACTTTTATGCTACAGTTCTGAGTCGGTGATGATGCTCCCAAGACTTTTTCCTATGTTTTGTACAACTACGAGATTTTTAAAGCCAATATTATTTTTGCTTTAGCTTTCTACATATTTTGCTTTCATACCTTTTTATTGTGGATGTTATGTGCTCCTGCTGTTTTTCAAGGTGACTTGAAAAGCAGTTCCACCTCTGAATGTTTCATAGCTGCTATCACTGACTATGAGAAGATATTTTTGCTAGTATACGATAAAGATTTCTATTCACACAGACAATTTAAATATTTCAGATTTAAATGTCAGACAGTCTTTTCCATGAGCAGTAAGAAGCAGAATATGATGAGCTCAGTTACATTCGACTACAGCCAGTGACAGAACACTTTGCTTTGAATCTACTGAGCCAGAAGCAGATTGTATAACAGCTTGTTATATTTTAAGAAAATCCTTCATCAATTGCAAATTTTCCTCTCATCAATAAAACTGATGTCCATCAGTCCATCAGTGCAATAATGTGCCAGTTCTGTATTTTATATATATTACAGTCCATCTGGAAAGTAATAATAGCATCTTAATCTGTTCCACATGAAACAGCCATATTCCAACATGGATAAAATTAATTTTCATACATAATTTAACACACAACACCCCTTAATGACAAATGAAAAAAATGCTTAAAAGTCTTTGACACCCACAAGTATTTCTGAGTGTGACCCTACAGGCTTGGCACACCTTTTGGGGGGAAGTTTCTGTCATTCTTTTTTCTTCTTTGCAGCACCTCTGCAGCTCCATCATGTTGGTTGGGAGCATTGGCGCACAGATATTTTCAGATCTCTCCAGAGATGTTTGGGTTCTGGTCTGGACTCTGGTTGAGCAACTAAAAGACCTGATGCTCCAGACATGATGCTTGGCATTCAGGCCAAAGAGTGCAATCTGTGTTTCATCAGACCGGAGAATTTAGTTTCTCATCTGATAAAAAGGAAGGACTCCCATCTGAGAGCACTTCAGGTACCTTTTGGCAAACTCCAGCTGAACTATCATGTGGCTTTTACTAAGCAATCACTTCCATCTGGTCACTGTATCATACAGGCCTGGGTAGAGTGCAGCAGAAATACTTGTCCTTCCGGAAAGTTTTCCTCTCTCCATAGAGCAACGCTGGATTTCTGTCAGTGGCCATTGAACTCCCTGACTATTGCTGAGACTGGCCAGGCAGCCAACTCTTGGAAGAGTTCTGGTGGTTCCAAATGTCTTCCATTCGTGGTTGATGGAGGCCACTGAGCTCACTGTGACCTTTAATGCTGCAGATATGTTTCTTTTCCCCCCCCAATCTCTTCATCGATACCAGTTTCTGAGGTAAAGGCCATGAATACTTACTACAATACTATTTTCATTTTTTAGTTTCCATAGATTCACAAGAATTTCAACTCTTTTCACTCATTATGGGGTAGTATGTGTGGAATTTTAAGTAAAAATTAATTCAATTTATTCTGGAATAAGGCTGTAACAGGAAAAACATGTGGAACCTGTTCTGCAAATACTTTCCAGACACACTGCATAATCATGGCAATAATTAAAAAGTGATAATGTATAGTGTGGAAAATATTTTTGAAAAATACAAGCATTATCGAATGATGCCACTGCTAAAGCACTGTCATTCTCATAACTCTCAAAAACACAAAGCATATTGTCAAACTATATTAAAAAACCAAACAAACACACAAAAACAGCAATAGTGCAAATGATTACACGTATAAGCTGCTGAACCTTCCTCTCATTGCACTGCTAGATGATCACAACAGTGCTTCTTGGCACATGGAAGCAGACCTACACAACATGAAGAGGCACAAATGTATATCTACAGTAAAGCCTGGACAGGAATTGAATTGGGCTGTACTAATGTAAAACCATAACAGACTGTGTTTGGTACAAAATGACTTATGTCAGCATCACAGTGCTCAAACACTCCAGTGTGGAAACAAAAGTACTGTTACATTTGGAAGATGAGGTATTTACAGACAGTTTATAGAATTTAAGGTAATACACATCTTCAGTCCAAAGGCAAAGTGAATAAATGTAAACACCAACCATTACACTAACATTTAAATCATTTGTGAACACCATTAAGCATCAACCTCCCAACTTTTTTTTAAAGCGAGTGACATAAATGTCAAAGTCCTCCCCTCTCCTCCAATTTCTGGAAAAGGGCCAGGCTGCGGAGACGAGACTGTCTTTCTCCGTTCTTCCACAGAATGAGCAGGTGGTCCGCCGAGCATGTAACCAAACCTTTCTCCGTGAAACTTACGAACATCTGAAATAAGTCCAAAAGACATTACTGCAGCCCTGGCATTACATAATTATAAGAAAGAACTTTAGTTTAAGCCTTATGTACCTGGACTGCTCCTGAGTGTCCAATCAGATCTCCAGTCAACTCTAGCATCCTAATGTTGGGAATGTCTATAACCTTCTTTGAAGGAGGCCCAGATTGTTTGTTTGAACGGCCAAAACTCCACATCCCAAAGAACCCTGTCGCGTGGACAGAAAAGTACTGTTACAGGATACCCAAGGAAACTGTACTTGTTGCTGATGATATTGCTGTTAAAAATTTATTTTCTGTGTTTACGGGTAGAGACGACAGATGACAGGATAGGCTAAAAACAGCATTACCATGACTGTCAGAATAGTAACTAATAGGTCTGCTCTAAACGTCATAATAATGATGTGACAGGAACACTGACTTGTGCTAACCTGCTACACACCACTTTTATTTCATATACACAATACCACGTCTGGCCAACATTACAGCACTCCCACCTCCACACACACATTCCTCAGTCTTTAAAGTTTCCAGTCATAATTATTCATAAGTAAGTAATAGATCATGGGGAATCTAGTTTTAGCAGTGTGTGTGTGTGTGTGTGTGTGTGTGTGTGTGTGTGTGTGTGTGTGTGTGTGTGTGTGTGTCTCACCTGAAGAAGCTGGTTCAGCCGGCAAAGGCAAGTCTTGGATCTCCCACATCCTCACACTGCCATCTTCAGAGCAGGACATCAGCTCACTAAAACAGAGGCAGTGTCACACACATACACACACAGATTGTCTGCATAGCAACAGCTATTTGAATAATAGTCGCAGGCTGATTTACTGCTAGATAATTATATTGAAAACAAAACTATTAATTATTACATTTGATTAAAAATGCACTGGTTCATGGCTGTCCAAAAAAATCTTTTATCAGTGAAAGATATGACTCCCTACATATTTATCATGTGGCCGTCTTGTCTTGTAGGCATAAATCTACTAATGTTTAGATAATAAACAGAAGCTTGATT